TGTTTATTCCGTGCAGATGGCTCCATTTTGAACATCCAGAATTTGTTTTGACTTTGTGACTATAGCTTGTAAACACAGAGTTGGCTGGCATCTGTACTGGGTATAGGTAGCTTTTCGTATTTGATCTAAAATTGAGTGGGGCTGTAGCCAAACCATTAGTCAGTCAAAATAATGTCGCAAGCCGGTTAAAGGCAGCATATCCAAACCACAAGGGAAGCCTGAATTGGAGGCAGTAGCACTGTCCATAAATTGACAAATTGATGCGCTAGTGGTGTTTCACTTACACAGCTACTTTAGCCAGACTCTAAATGTGGCTTTGCAAATCAAGGCATCTCACTATTAAATGTTTTGAACTGAATCACAGTTACGTTCTCTTACGTGAATGTGTTGATACGAATAATGCAAGGAAAATGCATAGATAAACATATTTATAACTCAAGATGCAGAAAACTCAGTTGCATCACTACTAAGCATGAAAACACTAGTGCTGATTCTTGTCTGTGTGTATTATATGTATGGAAATTATTTTCAAGGACAAATTAATACCAAAAATGTAAAGTTCTCTACTTTTCCTTTTGTCAGTTCCACTCCTAAGTCTTACAGATGAGGTTTTAGGGTTACTTTTCCTGCTATCAGTATTTAAACGTTTTAGCTCTTTTCTATATATTAGTTAACAGAAAGGGACACCAATTTTGATTTGTTATTTGAGAGCGTAGTCGAGCCATCTTTTGCTTTAAAAGGTTCCCTGTGCCTTTGTCTTCTCTAGTTTAAGTAATTAAGTTGAAGGATAAGTAGCCAGAGTATGTTCAAAGGCCTTGGCTTTATTTTGTTAGACCTAATTATTCCAGACAATACAAAATATTTTTCAGTAACTCCCCCCTTACCCATTCAGAGTGTATCTGTGCTTCCTGCTTATCTGCAGGTTCAGTTCTGCTTGAACATTGCTCAGGTCTATCACCTTGCTGGAGAAATACATGATTTGTAAATCTGAAAGAATTCCCCAACAGCAACCATAAAATTAAGCTGTTAAAGAGCTCTTGGAGCTTGTTTAAATGCAGACCTAAACAAACCTCTTTGCTGTTTAGCTCAAGATAAATCTTTTTAAAAGTCCTGTTCTAAATCACTTCCCAATTTTAATGAGTTTATATATCAGCCTTTGCCAGATTTTTACTGTAGCTATTCTCCAAGATTACAGCCATGATAAAGTAAGGACTAAAATTGTTTATTATATATTATTCTTCAGAAGCAAAACATTTTCCCCCAGAGGCTGTTGGGAGAGCTATTGATTTTCTGCCACAATGTGAAATGTGTGACCTTTATAATATGAGCAATGATTACAAGGCCAATAAAATGACATCATTCTGTTTAAACTTTAGAGTTCGCAGGGCAAATAGCAGAGTGTGCCACATTTAATGATGTCCACGGACGATAAGTGTACATTGCCTGGCTTCAAGTGAGACTGAAACACGAAGCAGGCAGACGCTCCAGCCCCAGAATACCCCCTGTTTGTGCCAGGAGTGGGTGAACAAGAGTGTACGTACCAGATAGAGCTGTGTCTTTTCCCAGCTCTTAAGGCAAGAAGTCAGTGCTTTTCTGAGAGCAGACTTTTCTAAATGTTTGCATCTACCAATGCCACTGACAAAACTCCTCCTAATGTGGTACAGGATGAGATATTTGGGGCACAGCTGTATACATCCATACAGATTTTCCCCAATGCACTGCATATGCATTTACAGGACTAAATTCTATTTTTGTAATACAGCTTTAGCCACTTCATTGCAGTTCCTCTAGAGCAGCTGAGAGAAGGCTCCATCGCAAATAGATGAAGTATAACCACACAGAGCATATTGATATTCTAATACGTGTGAAAACAAGGAACACAGAAAGCTTTAGTCATGCTTGGAGGGGAATGCCACAACCTGATTCATTGAAATCATTCCGAGAAGAAATCTGTGGAATTTCCTACTTCAGTCACATCAGTCTGCTTCCCCACATTCTTTTCTTCTCTTCCTTCAAATGCTCATTTTTGATCCATTAGGAAGTGCTTCAACCAATTCCCTGTCCAGTCTCCAGCCCGTACCAAGCGAGATCCCTAGCATGGAAACCACGGTAGCTGTGATTTCCCTGTGCAGGCTGAACCAAGCCTGCGCTCACTATTTGGTCCAGCTAAACGTGGAGCTGAAGTGCTCGTTGCTTAGAAAGAGCAAGCAAAGCAGCACAACACAGTCAAGGCATCGCAGAGGAAGGAATAGGGATAATTTTCTTTCCCATTTCTGGCTCATTGTGTAATATCAATAATCTCTGCAGCTTTGTATTATACTTGCCGTAAGTGGCTCTGGTGATTGATTAAACACCTTAGCTTTTCTTTGGCATTTAATCAATTGCAGCAGCAGTTTATTGCGTGGTGTATTACAAAGTAAAAGAGATTATTACTTAATTATTCTGAAAAATAGCAGCTTGCAGTTGTTGCTAACATGGGTATGTGTCTACGCTGACATTGGTGTCACATCATCCTTTCCTTTGTGCCTCCTGGTCTCCATGCTGGGTGAGAGCATGCGATTCCCAATGGGTCATTCACAGTCATTCCCGTAGCCATCGCCAGCACAGTGCAATTAGTGGCATTAAATAAATAATTGCTTACGATGGGGCTTCCCACAGTGCAAAGAGCCCAATTCTGTCGCTTGCTGGGTACCTCCAAATCTCACTTAAATTTTAGGCAACGTCCTTATTAACCAGCCCACGTGAATATGAACTCGCTGTCAGGTACAAACCGCTTCTGGAAACAATTCAGCAAGAATTACATTGGTATCAGGAGGCATTTTGATAGCCCACGGTGCAGCACCGGATGTGTGCACAACTGGAGATAAATCAGATACGAGGCATGTTATTGGTATGTGAGTGCAAGAAAGAAAAAAAATAACATTTTGTGACATCCTCTTGAGGATCTAGGAAATGGCAGCTCTTCTGTTTTGACATCTGAGGTTTTCTGCCTTGAGTGCAAAATTGAATCCATATGCAAGAGTTCAGAAAGAATATTGTGGTGTGATAAAGCATAAGGATTCAGGGTAGTGTACACATCTGTGCATGTAGGGGTACCACAGGTATCGTGATCAGTATGTATTCTTACCAATCTGCTTGTGGAATAGGATGTAACCCATCTGTATTCCCATGCAAAGGGATAGTCCAATATTTAGAATTAAAAAAAGGGGTTTAGTTCCTTGCTTTGCCCCTGACTTTCTCTATGATCATAGGCAAGTGATTTTGTCTCCTTGTGCCTGTTTCCTTTTGTGAATGGGAGTAACTGTTGTTCGCTACCTTAGAGAAGCATATGAAATTAAGGACTGCTAGCAGCTCCTCCACTGTGGTAATAGACACCATCTAAATATTTAGTGGAAAAATGAAAACTCTTCAAAACTTTGATCCTGCAAAGACTTGTATGAATTAAAGCTGTGCCCTTGATTTGAACAGGGCTAGTTAATGGAAGACCAGTGACAAAGCATCCACTGCAAGTTTTAAGCATTTCCCCAAATGATTTTAGGGGTTATTGGGGTGGGTGGGGTGGGGTGTCATGAGGGAAGAAAACTGAACCTTGTATGTTGTTTATTTTTCCTCCATTATGGTAGTAGAGGTCTGACCATCACCTTTCTAGGCAGCTTTGTGAATCCAAAAGGTTGGTAGTGCTCTTGCTCGTGCTTAAAGCTGGCATTGCCTGTGAGTAGTGATGCTTTGGCCAGTCCGTATAAGTCACGCAGCATCGTATGCCGGTTTTGTGTCAATCGTGCAATGGCTTTTGCAAGTACTCTAGCAGAATTGGAGCGAGCAGACGTTGACTGTCCAGTGACTAGGAGAAGTTCATGTTTCTTTGAGAAGGTGCTGGATGGTCCTAACCATTAAAAGAGTTTATTTTCTTACTCCAACAGATTTCCCCTCCCCTCCTTGATGTTACCAAATTTATCATCACTTTTGTCTTTCAGGTGTAACCTGTCTTTAGTGTTGCAGACACATCAGCCAACCATGCATTAAGAACTGGGCCCTTACTTTAATTCAGTATAATTTTCTTTTTGTCCAATAATTTCACAAGCGCTAATCCACACTTCAAATGCAGGAGATACTTTGATCCCCAAATTGTTCAGCACTTCATGCAGGAAAAACCGTAGGCCACAGTCATGAAACTCCTAGAGGATGGCTGCTGGCTTCCTGTGGCAGAGCTGGTTGTTGTTTTCCCCCCTCTCCCTTCTTTGCTCTAACCATTTTGTCTGTCTATCTTGTCTTGTATTCAGTTTTCAAAGCAATTGCCATGAAGGGCTTCCTTTTTTTAGTGCCTAAAAGGGAACAATAGATTTTTAGAATAAGCATATATATATTTTTTATATGACCGTCTGTATATGCATAGCATATCTGTCATATCTATACTTTAATATAACATGCTGAGAAGTTCAAGCTAAACAAATTAATATTTATTATTATTATTATTTATGAAAAGGTCTTTAAATGTATCCTTAAATGCACATGACATTTAAAATTATTCCAGTGCTGGATTTCTGAAAAAGTAGATGACCTTTTCTCTTGAAATTGGAGAGTGTTTTTTCCTTAACAGTTACATTATGCACAGAAGATGAGATGTTAACCAAGATGTTAAAATGTATTGTTTCCCTTTGAAAGCTAATCCTGTTCCTCATTTTCATTAATGTTGGCTCATTCATCTTTCTTTTTCTTTCTTTCCTTTCCTTTCCTTTTCTTTTGCAACTGTTTTTGCATGAAAATGCAGAGTAGAAATAAACAGATTTTTGGTAAGACTTGCTTTAAGACTCTTCTCTTTCAGATCCAGTTAAAGTTTTTAAGTTCAGTTATTTTAAAATTCATATTCTTCAGTTCCGTAAACAAAAATAATGGAGAAATATAATGAGGTGCAAAGCGATTTTCTAGCCCTCACTAATCAATAAATACCAACAAAATGGGGATGGTGTAATGTCCATAATTTAATTGTCTGCTGTTACCAGGTCACCACGAGACAGTAGCAGAAGCGGGGAGAAGCTGGAATTGGCCATGTCCAACCTCACTGCGGATGTCCTGGAATTACTCCTGGAGTTTGTTTATACAGGTTCTTTGATCATAGATTCAGCCAATGCAAAAACCCTACTGGAAGCTGCCAGCAAGTTCCAGTTTCATACTTTCTGTAAAGTCTGCGTTTCGTTTCTAGGTAAGAATCACTCCATCTAGTGAGGTTTTAAGATCTTATTTTAAGGTTTGCAAGTCTTCCTTCTAACAAGTTTTAAAAGATAATTAGGAAACCCAAGATAAAATATAATAAAATTTTAAAAAAAAGTATTTGGGTTGAGATTTGAATTCAAAGTGCTGACACGGTGGTCAGTGGAAAATGATATAAAGAAGTGTAGCCTGTTGTTTGAGTGGCAACTGCTTTCACATCTTGGATAGACTTTTTTCTTGAATCTTGGTTCATACTTGGTATGATGACATTTTGTTTCCCAGAGGTTGATCACTGCACAGATACCAGGCTGTAACGCACAGGTTGCTTATAACTGTAACAGCAAATGTTGGGTGCTACACCAGGCCAGCTTGGTCAAGCACTGAAAGCGTTGCAGGTGGACTCCCACAGAGGAGTCAGGATCTGCAATTGTCTTGCATCCATGAGAAAATCTTTCACATGTCCCATGTTCTTGTAAACAAGATCTGGTTGAACTACTCCAGGTTGAATGTTCATGGGGTTTGTTCTTTCATACAGAGTTATGGTCTGATGGATATGTATCATCACAAATGCTGGATGGGAATGAAAGGCTGCTGTGCTCTCCCTTGGTAACTGGTGTGCCCTGTGTGCATGGGGAGCATTTGCCCGAGCAAGGGTGTTCGGATCAACATCAGCACCAGTGCCCCTAGCCATCCTCTCATGGCCACATGAAAAGCCCATTCTTCCTGTCCAGAGCATCATGTCGTGCTGCTCCTTGCATTTTCTGTATGTTTTCCAATATAGACTATTTCAAAACAGTCCAAGGTGGCCAGCTGAGTTAACTAAGCTTTACCGGTCTGAACTGGAACCATCCAGCCCCGTTTCTGTCATGGCAGAAGAGGAGCCAGAACTGGTGCTCAAATGAAACACATGTTGGTTTATATTCCTGACTGTATCATATGCCACTCCTTCACTAACGTGGCTATAATATCAGTTAATGAGACAGTAATAATTTACAAATTATTAACACAAACTTATTAACACAAAAAGTGTGAGCTTGATCTTATATGACTTACTTCCCATGTTCAAGTTCCAATATCTTTTTTGGACATCTGGTTTCTATTCAGGCTCCCTCAACTTGGTATGGAAGATGTCGTTCCCTCTGGACCCCAAATATATCTTCAACCCACATGAACTCTAGGTTCTTCTTGGCCAGTTCTCATTTAAAATTGACATCTAGAATTACAGAGCCTGGAAGATAAGAGTTTAGAAAATGTTGCAGTCATTAAAAAAAAAAAAACCAAACTCAAATGAGTCCAGTTTACTGCTGTTAATTTTCACTGCTAAGCTGACCTGCTGGCAAGATGAGTGGTGTGACTAGGCTGGCACAATGCAGGCATCAGTAAAGAATCTGTGGTATTGTATTCTTCTCTTCTTTCCAGCTTTTTATATGTCACTTGTTTAAAAGCCTGTTCTCAAGTAAGTGGGTAATGGGGAAATGAAGTCTATGCTTTGCAATCCTGCTGTGTTGGTTGTGCAGCTTGAGTGAGGGCTCTGGCTCTGGTATTGCTTTCCCCCAGCTTCCCTTCATCACCTTTTAAAGTGATTAGATCTTAGGGCCTTTCCAGGAACAGATATGTTTAAGTTGCGCTATCTCTAAAGATTCAGCCAGAAAAGCAAAATACATTTATTTCACTAAATCAATGTGAGATTTCTCTTTTCCGATAGTTAATATTTGAATTCAGTGAACCATGTTATGGTATGAAATAGTAGGTTGGTTATAAGTTCAGTGATATATGGGGAGTCGCTGGAATTTTGTATTCTCATTTGGAGAATTCATGGAGTGTAATTGCTTATTTTTATTTATAGCTGTGACTGGATTGCTCTACAGAGATAGCAGAGCATTTGCCATCTAAAAAGTTGAAGGAAAAGCATTTTTTCTTCTCTGTGGCTGTGTTTTTTCCTTTCATCCCAGCCACCTCTGCTCCCCACAAAGCAAAAATATGGTAAAAAACAGGGTTTTTTCCAGGGTTTCTGGAGGATTTACCAGTATAAACAGTGATTCTTTCTCATCAGTGCCCATATCTAAATAGTGAGAGAAGTGGAGGGAAGTCCAAAGAGGTCCAAGGAAGTAAAAGCCCCAAATTAATAGGTCTGTTCAGCACATCACAGCACCATCTCAGGGGAAATTCAGGTCATCCTTTTTTGGCCATGAAGCTCCAGCAGAGTCCTAACTGGTTGATGTCCAGGCAGCTCTTGTGTCTCTGTCCTGGGCCTCTCAGCAGCACTGGGGAGAGGCACCCCAAATCTACTTGCACTTTCTGGTGGAAACATGCTGCAAATGTGTCAGGAAAATTGTTTCATTTCAATGGGAGATTTCTTAACTAGCTTCACTGGGCTAATTATAGCCATGTTCTCTCTCTCCCCCACATGCTGTCTCCTCTGCTTTTGTCTAGACCATGAGAAATTGCAACAGTTCTGCGCTGACTGATGCAACGATGCTGACAAGTTCGTGCAGGCGCCATATGATAACTGGGCAAATGTTTGCAAACTGGTCAGGACATCATAGGTATCTCCTCCATCCATATGGCTGAAGACTTGAGGGGGTTTCTCTTTTTTTTTTTTTTCATATTTGTTTTACACTATCATCACAGTCATGTCTCAAGTCGGATTTCAGGTGATTCATCAGTATCACCGTTTGGGTCCGTGATGCAGGGACCACCATCGCAGGAGTGAACAAATTCTGAGCTTGTACTTCAGCCAGCTGCTGCTAAAATAAAAGTATTCTTCCTTAAGTGTAAAGAAGTTTCTGGAACCTGTTAGATTCATGGAGCAGAAAAGGAAAGAGCAGGAGCTTTGAATTTTCTTAGTCTCCTGGGCAAAAGGCACAAAGACAAAGTTTGCAAAGAGTGTGAGAGGGAGCTATGAGAAAAACTGAACAATGGACCAGTGGTGAGACCTGCATGAACAGGCATATGCACGTGAGGAAAGAAGAGACCTTTATGGTCCTTATGAATTCGAGAGAAAGTATTGTGGGTAATATTTTGTTCATCCAGCTGGAGAACCACGCTGCCCAGCACTGGAGAAACTGAAGCTTCAACCATATCCGGAGATGAGAGAAATGAGGAACACTCTCACAGGGGAAGTGAAATCTTTTGGATGACGAATACATCTGGAAGTCTTCCACTTATCTCCCATCCTCACATGGTTTTGACACTAGTAGGAATACCTGAGGAATAAGATCCCCATCAGAATGTACACAGAGTATGATGAGGAAATGCATGTTTTATGCTAATTTTAGTGATATCCAAGTCATCATCTAGAAAGCATCTCTAAGTGAAAATACAGTGCTTAATGCACACAGAGGAGGCTTACATCAACCACTGAGCTTCCATCGTACTGTTACCGCAATCTCACTGACTAATCCTTCCTACATACCATCTATCTCTGACTTTATCTCAAGATGTCCCACTCCCAGAAGTGCAGTCTTAGCAGTCTGCCTGGCTGGTTATCTCATGATGACTTTGCACAGGATCTCATTCCAAAATCACTTCTAACACAAGTGGAGAATACCAGCTGCTGATCTGCAATATTGTGACATACATAGAAACAAATATGCTATCCAGCACTGTCTCAGACCAGTGAGAGCCTACTAGATTACATCTGATATCCTTAAAGTCCACTCATAAGCCTGTTATGAACTGTCCTTGAGCACTGGGAATAGCTTACTAGTCAGCAGTCATGTTCCAAATGGACACAAGGTGAGGTGAAACTCCCCAAAAATGTGTTGTTACAAGTCCAGTGTCACTGTGGCAAAACCAGCAATTATTGTAAACATCGGCATCCAAAGGAAAAGGGGTCAGGAGCAGATTGAGCAGAACTGTTCCTTAGCTATCTTTGTCATGTCGGCATCCAGAAGCGCCCCCAGATTGCAATCGCTTGGGGTGGGCTATATTATATAGCAGAAGTCTATAACTAAGTAGTCACATAGGTTCCCTTTATAGTCAGTGAAGAGTAACAGGCATTGGTAAGACACTGTTATGCTCATCCTGATGTCGTTATCCAAAATATTACCAGATTGCTTCTTGGAATTGTTTGTTTATGAGTGTACGGGGATACTAACATGATTGCTCAGTTGCACCATAGACAGCTGGAGTCAAGAGAGATCAATCTTGCCCCCAAATTTTGAGTCAGAGGTGAAAAATGGAGGGTGCATTTTTTCTGTTCACAGGATAGAGATTTTCCATACGTTCTATAGCTGTTGCCCCAACCTCTGTCTCGCTCACCTGCAATGAATCCCTCTAGTTTACATGCCACCTTGCTGTGGTGCTTATCACATCAAAAGTGAGATGAAGTGCAAAGAAGTGTGTCACCAACCTCCCGAATGTACCCCAGTGTGCTTTTTCCTGGGACCCCTCTCTAAATGGCCTTATGATACTTGCTGAATCAGACAAGGATAACATCATTTGGGTCTGCCACCAAGCAGTTTCCTGAGGAAGAGGAAGGAGCGAAGCTCAAAGGGACAAGGTAGAACTGCTTGAACACCAGTGTACCAGGCTGCATCAATCACCCAGCATCGTTAGAGGTAGAAAAAACTGTCCAGATCAGAAGAAACCAGTCGTGACCAGTGCTTTTTCCGCCCCACACCACAGGCTCAGCTGGGAATGGTATGGGAATCTCTCCTGATAGAGGCAGACCCAGTCCCCTGAAGGCAAAGACTCATTCTTGCAAGTCTCTTCCATCGTGTGCTAGTAAACGGCTGCTCAATGAGTCAAACTTCATTATTACCTTTATTATAAACCCTGTGAGGGTAAGGTGGAGCAGTGTCAGATTTGTCTCTGACTTGAGAGTTTGCCAAGCGATGATGAGAGTTTTGGACTCTGTTAGATGATTATTTTACCCACAGCCGTATGTATACATGAAACTGTGCCAACAGACAGAACCTGGAAGAGGTTTTGGAGGGGTTTTTTGGGAAAAGAAGAAATTTTGGGAGCTTTGTGCTTCATAGCTATCAGTTTGCAGCCTGTCTCTGGGCAGTCTTTGAGTGACAAAATCTACTGACAGCAAAAAGTGCCGCTGCTCCAGTCTGCTTGAGGAAATGGGCTCCTTGCAGTCAGTACAATCAACTGATGCAAAATGAGATAACCTAGTTTCAAGATTGCTGGATCTGTAAAAGAAAATAAAAAGAGGGAAAAAAGAAAAAACAACACCAAAACTCCTAATCTCATGCCAGGTTAAAAAAAAAAAAAAAAAGTAGGTCATAATCCCATTTTAATAAAAGCCACGTATCAATAGCGTGCAGGTTTAAAATCTGATGAACGCAGAACCTGGGCGTAGGGAAAAATCCCCAAGCATTTCCAAAAGAAGCAATCTAATGGGAGTTTTGTTTGAAGAGATGTGGGGCTATCGCACATTCCTGTCCAGTGCTTTGAAAGGGTGCACTAGGATATGGCACTGCCCAAATGTGATATACTTCTCCTCTGAGAAGCCTGCCACTGGTACCGATGCTTTTGTGATCTATTGCAGTCTGTCTCTTTCTTTTCTTGGTGCTATATCTTAAAAGAATATATTCTGCCTATTAGTAGTGGCTTCGTTAACAAAAGCTGAGAAGAATCTGAGAGTTCCTCTTATAAATGTCTGAAATTGGTGGGTTTTTCTTCAGAATAGCTGAAAAGGAAAACAGTATAGTCAAATGTATGGTGTAGCACACTTTTAACGCAAAGCTACACACTGTGCTGTTACTTCTGTTTGCCGGGTAGGAGATAATGCTGTCTCCTCTGTGCATGATTTTCTTTGAAACCCACTACACAACATTTAACAGAAGGCGTTAGTATAATCTGTGTTTTGCATAAGGGATGTCATCACATTCAGCAGGAACAAAGTTCCTTTGAAAAAAAAAAGGGGGGGGCAGGATTTTTTTTTTATTTGAAGTAGCTTAGTAGCTGAACAGGGCAAAAATTATCATAAAGTGACTGCAGCATCCTCAGAAATGTCCTTAGTGCTGTTTGCATTTATTCTTAAGTGTCTGCACTGGCGTTTACATCTTTGCTGTTTCTTAAAGCAACATTGTAGGCGGTAGAAATAGCAGCAGTCTTTTGGCTGGGTTCCCGTCCCTTGGGAAGCCCCAGATACTATTATGTCAGTAGGTTTCCCCAGTGCCTTGTGAAGGCTTACACAAAAAGCAAACTCGGTGCATTTCTCTCGCCATCCCCAGCTCAGTTGTTAGATAGACTTTGATTTTTGTCCTTTAAACCCTAATCCTAAAGTAACCCAGGGTGCTGCTTCTAATTAACTCCCTGAAATTAATTAGGGTTCGAGGTTTGTCCATGGCTCTTGTTTTTTTCATGATCTCAGTAAAAATGTGAATCTTGCTTTTAATAATACTCACTTGCCTTTTTTTTTTTTTGTCCTTTTAGAAAAACAGCTGACTGCTAGCAACTGCTTAGGAATATTAGCCATGGCTGAAGCTATGCAATGCACTGAACTATACAACATGGCCAAAGCATATGCCCTGCAGATTTTCCCAGAGGTGGCAAACCAAGAAGAGATCCTTAATATCTCAAAAGATGACTTCATTTCCTACATGTCCAATGACAGCCTGAACACCAAAGCAGAGGAGCTGGTGTATGAAACAGTGATAAAGTGGATTAAGAAGGACGCTGCAATCAGAGCTCAGGTAAAAATAATCTCAGCAGCCTCACTCTGCTCCGTTCCCATGAATGCCTCTTTTAAAATAGAAACCATCCCAGTGCAATTTTAAACCTGAGGATGCGTAGGAGATGGGATGGGCAGTTCAGATAAAAAAAGAGAAAGGGAATGAAGGCTATGCACAAAATGTATGTAATTTCAAAATCTGAATCCCATATCTGATCACTTAGAATCAGAGTCTTGTTTGTAACAAGCATGATACAAAGCTAGGGCCTCGAGTTGTTGGCTGCAGGCTCGGTCAGAGATAAATCAGGAAGGATTAGTTGTGTGAGCTGCTGCTTTAAGAAGAGGATGCATTTTAGTAACAGTGGGAAATAAAAATCTGTCAGAAAATCTGTATTTCTTTTCATGCCACACACTGAATGAGTGTAACTTCAGTACATAAAAAAAAAAGATTCTGTATCTTTATTGGCTGCTTAGATAACCCTTTGGCTATTATATATTTATTAGAGTTAGCCTTTCCTCAACCATCTGAGCTATGCTGTCTGCTCTTGACTCAAGAAGCTAAGTGTATTACTTTGCTTAGCACTGTCTCCAGATACATGCTAGAAGCAATGACTGTTTGGAGGCTGATGATTGTCCTTGGGACCAGAAGAAGTCCCTGGTGATATTTAAAAACCTGCCACTTGCCTTCAGTGCAGCCTTGCAAGTTGGCTTTTGTGAGTAGTGAATTGTGGTGGTCTGAACCCCAAATCTCTGCTTTTGGAGGCCAGTTGTCCCCACAGCCCCCAGAAGGGAAAGGTTGTTTTTCCCCTTTCCCCTCTTTTGGAGGTCAAAGTTGCTTCTGTTGATCCCCACTCACAATTTTGGCTAGTTTAAGGAGGACAGTCCAGTTGCTTTTGGACCAGACCGCTACTTAGGGAAACACTTGGCCACACATTGTTGATGCCATCCCACATGATGAAAGGCTGTACCTGCTTGATTTAAATGGGAATTCAAGCACCTAAATGCACAATGGGATATTAAATGTGTCATTGGATGTGATCTGGAGCAGCTGCACCTGCGCCCCTCACCTGGAAAGTGGGAGAAATAGCATTTCTTGACCTCACTGGGCTGCTGGATGAGGATAAGGGCATTAAGGACAGTGGGGTACTCCATGCCAGGCCAAACCTTGCTGCCTGTGCTGCTTCCAGCCTGCAGCCCCCAGGGCCTTTCTCCAAACTCTTCCTGCCCTGTGCGAGCAAGTGACGTAGCTCAGCAGGGCAATCCTGTGCTTGCTCTGACCACCTCCACCATGTGCCAGCGATGCCATTTAGCATTGCCCAGTATTATTATTGCCTAAAACATTTACACGGTATCACTGATTTATTGAAATGGGCCCCTTTTTGGCTCTCGCTGGCCTTGAAAAACACATTGTTTTACAGAGTATTTCCCTGCTTGCTTAAAGTTTGATGACAGCAGTCAGCTCTGTGCAGCTCTGACCTCTGAATCTAATGCAACTTCAGGGATTATTCCCAGGGGCTGCAGTACAGGAGCCCTGCGGCAGGAGCCTGTTTGCCTGGTGCAAACAGAAGGTGTCACTCACCAGTCAGTCTGGGTTACCTTTTCAAAATTGCTGGTTTAAATATTTCCTTCGGCGCCCTGCTGCGGTGATGTTATGAATTTATTTTTTTAAGCGGTGGTTTTTCTTGCTCCCCTCTCGCTGCTGCCACTGCCATCTCCTCCTCTCTCTCTTTCATGTCGCGGTTGGGTTGGTTTGCTGGGGGGGTTTATTTCCAAGTTTCCTTCCCTTCTGTTCTGGTTCTGCAGTGCCTTTGTAGTTTACGATGACAGTTTTATTTGCTTCTCCAAACTTCTCTGTGGTGCTTTGGTTTCATGCATTACTTTACAAGGGCTTTTAATTTTTGATTTGAATTTATCCAGAGATGAGGGTCTTGAATAAATTAATATTAAAGATACTAAGCAGATAACTATTTTCATGCCCAATCCTACCATTAGTTTCTTTGAATCGTAGCTCTCACTTTTTTTGTGCTCTGTGCACTGCTTGATCTATTATAAAGCTCTTAGTTAAATAGGTACTTATTTTCTAAAAGTAGGTACTCATACTTACCATGAAAAGTACCATCTTTACAATAATGACTTCTGCATTTTCAGAGCCCAGGAACAAATAGCTCTGACAGTGTAAAGGGAGGAAGATAGTCCTAAGTAATCTCATTTCTGATAAAGATGATGAGTGAAAATTTGTGCTTGGTGTGCGGCAAGGCCCACTATGCCGGGAACTGCCCAAGCTCCCATGAGATGCACAGGCTGCTCAGAGCTTTGCAGAACTGGGCGACCATGGCAATACCGAACCTTGGGTGGACCTTCCTGCAGGAGCTACGCATGGATATTTTTACTTTATTCACAGTTTGGTGAGATGGATTCACTCAGCTCTCTTTAGACTCTTTGGGATGGGGAGCCAGCATGTGGAGGACACCAGCGCAGCAACAGGATTGTTGCTTTTGCGCTCAGCTGGTAGGATGAGTTGGGAGGGTTGCTGGAGAGGTTTTAGCCATGAATTGCAACAGCCCCAAGACATCACTCCTGCTCTACTCACTCCTCAGGTGACTGGTCTGGTTTTATTTCTCTTTCCCAAAGGCAGTCCTGGCAATTAAATCTTTCGAGGCCTGGATTTCCAGGGCCTGCACTTTTCGTATGTCCCCTCTCCGCATCTCCCTTTGCCTGACAAGCCAGGCTCTGTCATCACGTTTTTATTTTCAATAGCTCCAATGGCAGGTGATTAAAATACCCCTTTGGCAGCTTCTTCCAAGCACTGAACTGGTGATTCTCCCAAAGGTGGGTGTCTGGCACAAACAAGGAAAGGTCTGTGCTCTTCATCTCATCTGCGTGTCCATCTTCCCTGGCAAAGCCTGGCAGGAGCTCCTCCAAAAAAGCTTTAATGGCTTTGTGTCACCCTGGAGTGCAAGCTCACACCGGGGGACAGTAAATCTCACCACTTGTGTTCCCCACACCGCAGCTCCTTGTGCTGCACTCTTAGGACAACTTAGCCATCACTGCCTCCTCTTCTCTCTGGATCCCTTTCGGAGAGCCTCTGGAAGGAGATTTTCAATGGACCCTCCCCTTCTCCTGGAAGGGCATTGAGTTTGCTGTCTTCCTGCTCTTCTCTGCCTTTTAAAAGCTCTTCTTCTAATTGTTTCTGCTTTTGTTAATTCTTTCCCCACCAGGCCAGAGGGCAGTGGCAGGGAAGAAACCATGATTTCCTTGCAAGGCAAGTTGAAAAGCTGTGCTCTGGCTGACTTTTAATTTTGCAAATTCTGCTCATACAAAGTCTTAACGGTGCTTATAAAAGTGCTGTGTGGCATTACAAAAAACAGCATCTGAGCCTTGTTACAAAGAGGGAATAACAGTGCTTTAAAGGTTACTGATCCATCTACGTAAGACAGAAAGGCAGTTCAGATAGTGACATATGTCTTAAGCTAGGATTTGGTAAATAACCGTATCCAGTGCGTTGGAGCACCGCACCAGCTCATATGGTAATGTTTATGGAGCTATTTTAGTGCTGCTGGTAGTGCAGTCACATAAAATTGGTCTAACCAAAAGAAGCAACCTGTGATGTGAGGTCTAGACTAGGTAGGTAATTCCTGTACCAGCGGCCACAGAGCACTGGTTGTCGGAGTCCTCTTGATTGCTTGTCACTGAGTGGAAAACGGGCAGCCGACTGACACATCTGGAAATGTGAATCTACTGTTTTTTTCCATTTATTTCTCTTCCTGACTGATGGACAAGATTGTAAGGTTTATCCTAACAGTTATCCTCTTGATAAGCTTATTACAACTCTGGCGAACTCATGCAAAAAATATATTGTATAATGGAGGCTTTACTGTCTGGAAACCAGGACTGTCTGAGCCGTATGAACAAGCTAAGATTTCTGCCAGGCCCCAAGTAGACTTCACCTGAGCTCATCCCCCAGCTCTCTGCGTGGCCTTGGGCAGGTTGTTTCACCTTTTTGCGCCCATTTCTTACACTATAAGCTGGAGGGAAGTGATGCCTCCCACGTGGGCTGTTGGGAGGATTCGGTGGATAACGAGCCATATTGTCTGCCGGTACTAACGACTGCGATTGCTGCGCAGAGCTGCAGTCATGCCCAGCATCAGCGTGGGATGGGGAAGATGGGCAGTTGCTGGATGCGCAGCAATTTGCTGCCTGCCCAGAGCACAGACATACCAAAGCTCATTGGAAACTTTCCCACCTTCTGGTCCAAGCCCAAAGTTGTATCTGTTTTCTCTGACACAAAAAACATAGTAACATGTTTATTAATAACAGAAAGCCTGGGAAAACAAGACTCCCAGTTGCATGAAGCTTCCCTCTCACCCTGAGAAGGGACAAGAAGTGAGGAGAGGACAAGTTTTTCAACAAGTTGCCCAGAGTAATGCTGGAAGAGAGGCGGATACTGCAGCTACGAGTGACACATGAGAGGCTCAGCTGAATGGCAGTCACCTTTTGTTGCACTTCGCAAGGATATAATCGCATGCCCTTTTTTCAAACCCTGTTTAAAATCATGATGTCCAGCAGCAAAATGAAACATCTCCACTGTAAAGGCATTAACAAGCCTTCTATGAACTTGTGTCCTCAGAGGCAGATTTGTCTAAGCAGCATCTTCATGGTGCCTGAGAACCAGAGATGCGTAGACAAATTGGAGGTAATTTAGAGAAGAGCAACACAAATGATTAAAAGACTGAAGGAACTGATGTGAGAAAAAAAAGATTAAAAGATGTGAATATGCATGACTTGGCCTAATGACAGCTAAAGAGGGATAAATGTCTATGAGTTTTTGAAGCCCTAAGGAGAGGAGTTGCCTGGAAGGATGCAAGGGGTATAACAACAGTAAGGACCACTGGGATGAATTTGAGACTTGGCAAATTAGTCTAAGCAAACACAAAGCCCACCTGAAAGCCCTGTATCTGTCAGTGAGGGTAAGGAAAGGTGATGGAGAGAAGGAAAAGAGGATTTATGTCAAAAATGCTGCAA